TGTGTGTGTGTGTGTGGTGTCAAACTCTTTCCCTGGGAAAATGTGTGACCCAAATATGGCTCCGTCAGGCAGAGAGCAAAGAAATCAATTATAGAAGACTGAGCAGAGGCCGCAGCATTAATATTTGAACAAGTGTCTTCTCTTTAGAAATAAAAACACAACTTTTCTCGAGAAATATTTCTAGGCGGGTCTGACTGAGCTTATCACTTTTTCAAAACACTGGTGGCTTACGTTCCTGTCATTTTCTCTTTTCTGAGCCCTTTTCTCTTCAGTCTGTGGATGTAGAGCTCTTTCTTGACCAGATATCAGTCTTTTCCCTGCTCTCCGTTTCCCTCTCTCACTCTCAAATTTAGCACCCCCCCCCTTCACTACACCCCCATTTTTCATTTTCTCTTTCTCGCCTGTTACATTTCCCCCTGCTACCACTCTCCTCCTACGCTCACCCTCTCTCAGCTCTCTGTGATGATAAATATCCATTTTCATCTTCAACATATGCCCTCTGCGTTTGCCCGCTGGCACACACAAAGTCAAACACATACACTCAGAGACACAGCAACACGCACACACACACGAATACAGCACCCTGATGAATAACTCATTCAGTTCTGACCTTGGGGAGTTTATCTCTTGCGAGAGAGAAAGGAAAAAGAGAGAAAATGTGTGTGTGCTGAACTAATCGCAGTAATCTGCTGCTGTGTTTTTTGTTGTGTGTGTTTTTATGTGTACATGGGGAGGGGTGGTTGGGGTAATCGCTCTCTCTCTCTATGGAAGCGTGTTCAAGCCTGTTCAACATGCTGCACAGCTAAGCCCGCTAAAACGGCACACTGATGCTCAACACCACCCCAGAGGACCTACACATACACACACACACACACACAAACACACACACACACACACGCACCCTCATGCTTATTCAGTGCACACAGACCGAAAGATAGACACCCAAACACAGAACCAGAGACAGCCAAACATGCACATACACTGTTGATCTGCATCCCTGCTTCTGCCTCTCCCTCCGCTCCCTCTTTAAAAAAATAAAAAAATAAATAAATCAACCTAAGCCTTAAAAAAAGTGCGTCTTTTTCTCTTTTCAGTGAATAAATATCAGGCAGTCTTCCTCCACAAAGACCATCTCAGTTCTCCCTCTCCCTCTCCTACATTCATCTCTCCCTCTTTCTTCCTTTGCTTCCTGCAATTCAGTGAGATGGCTCCCTGTGGACTGCTGGGAGCTGGTGGTGCTGAGGAGTCAATACATAAAGACGCCTTGTCTTAAAGCAGTACCAACAGGCAAGAGCGGGGTTTTATAAAACACAGGTTAAGACCCTGATGTCCCTGAATGAAGTATGAAATATTCGTTTAGTGGACCTGGGCTCCATGGTGATACTGAATTTAATTAGAGGAGATTAAGATCCATTAACTATGACAAGAAATTTGTTTGTATTTTAACTAACATACATTTTTCTTTTGATCGGTGCAGGAATTATCATCTTATATTAGCAATATTGTAAGACAAAAAGGGCACGTTGCCAGTACATTATAACCCAAGTGGGGACGCTGTGGTTTGTGGAGACCATCTTAACCCTGAAACTGCTTTTCTCCACTGATGGTAAACTGACTACCTTAGCAAGTTGGACTATCAATCAGACAAAAAGGATATTCAAACATGTCACCTTGTGAGTTCATTAAGTGCTTTTCAACTTCTTTTTAACACTTTATGTGCTAAATGATCAACTGAAACAGTGAAGACTTTCGGTGTGCGCTCACTAATCTGATATAAAATAATTGACACAACACTTACTGAGGTAAAACAGTATAGTAGTACTATAACTGCTGCCCTGTCAAAGAACCCAGTAGCCAGTAATAGGCTTGAGGATTGTGAAAATGAGACATGACAGTTAACAGCCCACTGAAATTGTTTGCAGCAGAAATGCCTACGAGCCCCTCGGGGGAATCGTTTCACAAACTCATTAGAGCATTTAACCTCTTGAATGTTCCTCATACTTACAGGCAATGACATGGCTGAATGAACGCACACACACATGCACCTGGCTGTGGTGTGAGGGCTGACTGACTCATGTAGCCACAGATCCACACACACACACACACACACACACACACACACACACACACACACACACACACACACACACACACGAACAAAGACAGTACAAACAAAGACAGTACAATTGAGATGAAGTGCATACCTCCCGGGTTTGAACCCACCTCAGGGAAGTTGAAAGAGACAGAAAGGAACAGGCTGGGCTGTGTTGTAACTTGTGTGGCACTAAAAATGAAATTCCTTGGAATGAGAGGGAGGTGTGTTGCTTAGTCTTAAATATACCTTTGGCCAAAAAGCTAAAGAGATAAACAATTCAGCTGCTTTATCTATATGACAAACTGCTTCACTAACTTTAGTTTTACTCTAATTCTAAGCCTTTCTATCTATCTTTCTGTTTATGGACATACAGTCACATTGTGTGCATGCATACCCTGTCATTGATATGTGCGCACAGTGTTAACAAAACATGTAGTCATGTGTGTGTCTCCAAACTTACCACTCTCCCTGCTCTCTGGCGCCCCTCTTTGGTCATCCAACCGCAGGTCACTTAGTAGGTGCTCCAAGATCTTGAGCGGCGTTCCCGACACCACCACGTACCTGTAAGACGCAGAGCCGCGACAAACTTCCTCACTAGGGCATGAAAACAAAGTGCGACAACTTCCATCCCTCTTTCCTCCCTCCCTCTTCTCCTCCTTATTCTCCTCCACGTCGTCGTCATCGATGTAGCGGAAGTGGGGAACATCAAATGTGCTGATTTCTGAACTGCTAGCATTTTCATCATGATTTCTATCCTCATAATCATCTTCATCCTCATCATCTTCATCATCTAGGTCCTCCTCTGCTTCTGCGAGCGTAGCTAGCTCGGAGGTCATCTTCATATCTGAACACTTCCGGAGGATCAGCCCTCATTTACGCTTTGCACACCCAGGAAGGGTGCTCTCCTGTGGGGTAAACAGCCTTGCCGTCTGCCCCTGTCAGCTAAGAGCTTCAGAGATTAAAACCCTCTGTCTGACAGCTCCTACAGTAGCACTCAGAGGGAACTGATTGCTACTGATGATGCTGAGCACTGTATACACACACACACACATACACACACACCCACTTAACCTGCCTGTCACTGACACTCCCTACATTGTGCCTTAGGTCTTGGCACATACTGACTTAAATAAACACAAAGACAGACACTGTACAAAGAAATCAACTTTGAGGAAATGCTCTTACACACACACACACACACACACACACACACACACACACACACACACACACACACACACACACACACACACACACACACACACACACACACACAGACCAATACATATGATCCTAAACGCATACACTTTGTGGAAGGAAGTAAACCATTCTTGGTGTCATCTTTGTTTGCCTTTCAGCTGAAAACAAAAAGCCATTCTCTTCTTCCTGCTGTGTGCCAGAAGCTAAAGCATACATTATCTTAGACACACGCACACACACACGCGCGTGGACACACACACACGCACGCGGACGGACACACACACACACACACACACACACACACACACACACACACACACACACACACACACACACACACACACACAGTGTTGACAGCACTGCTGATATGCAAGAGAGCGTGGTTGCAACCTGAGCTCCCAAAGTAAAAAACTGAAAAAGAGAGGGAGGAGTACTATGATTATATCTTTTGTTGCAACTGTTGGTTTGGAGGGCTCTTATGTAGGAGGAGGGACTGACCTCTTGTCGCAATCCTCCTCTCTGGACCCACCCCCTGACGATGTGGGTGAGGGCCGGTCCGATGGCGACGTCACTGATGATGTCACTCTCTGCAACACCAACACGTCCCGTCCTCTCTCCTTCAGACAAACCCTCCCCACTGCCTCCTGAGGGAGAAAAAGAAAAAAAAATAGAGTGAAAAAATCAGACAGACAACATGTAACAAAGTGAGGCAAGATCTAAACTCTTAGAAAGTTGACATTATAGGCCTGCTGTAGCTTATTAAATTATAGACTGGTAAATGCGTACGGTATATGACGTCTGATCAGAAACAAGAAAATTAAAGGACATTTGTTCATCAGAGAGCATTGAAAAGTTTATTTTCAACTGTAAATTGTCTCGCTCAAGAGTCAACATTGGGGTCGCTTTCCACCGCTGGAGACAGCTCTTAAAAGGAATGAAGATTGATGTTGTACATACAATGTTTCCTCAAGACTGGTAAGTAAACAGTTGTTAATGCTAACGCTAGCTACGTAGCAATAGCAGAATTTACAAAAATATTCCTTTAAACAAATTTAAGGGGTCATAATGACAAATGTTTTTTTTGTGTATGTTTATGTTAAAAAACAAATATCACCCAATATATCAGTCAGATTTTTTAAATTCTCAAATACCAATATATATATATATATATATATATATATATATCACCTTTAGCAATCCAGTATCAGTTGGGCTCTAGTGTCCAGACCCTTTCACACAGTAAATGCAGCACACACACTCTCACACCAATCCATATGTGATAATAGGGGGAGGTATTACATTTCCTGCCTTTGAAGGAAATGGTATTGTGTAATAAATACAAATGGGGACAACCGAGAATGTGGGCTGACATTTGAAATAATCTCCTGCTCCAAAAATGAACAGCAACTTGATCTGTGACTCCGACACACACACACACACACACACACACACACNTAAATTATAGACTGGTAAATGCGTACGGTATATGACGTCTGATCAGAAACAAGAAAATTAAAGGACATTTGTTCATCAGAGAGCATTGAAAAGTTTATTTTCAACTGTAAATTGTCTCGCTCAAGAGTCAACATTGGGGTCGCTTTCCACCGCTGGAGACAGCTCTTAAAAGGAATGAAGATTGATGTTGTACATACAATGTTTCCTCAAGACTGGTAAGTAAACAGTTGTTAATGCTAACGCTAGCTACGTAGCAATAGCAGAATTTACAAAAATATTCCTTTAAACAAATTTAAGGGGTCATAATGACAAATGTTTTTCTTGTGTATGTTTATGTTAAAAAACAAATATCACCCAATATATCAGTCAGATTTTTTAAATTCTCAAATACCAATATATATATATATATATATATATATATATATCACATTTAGCAATCCAGTATCAGTTGGGCTCTAGTGTCCAGACCCTTTCACACAGTAAATGCAGCACACACACTCTCACACCAATCCATATGTGATAATAGGGGGAGGTATTACATTTCCTGCCTTTGAAGGAAATGGTATTGTGTAATAAATACAAATGGGGACAACCGAGAATGTGGGCTGACATTTGAAATAATCTCCTGCTCCAAAAATGAACAGCAACTTGATCTGTGACTCCGACACACACACACACACACACACACACACACACACACACACACACACACACACACACACACACACACACACCTGCAGTGACAGTGCAATAGGAACTGAGCTCCAGATGGACAAAGGAGCACAATAAGAAACAGCCTGAGGAGAGGAGAGAAAAAGGAGAAGAGAGAGGGAGATCAAAGGCAGAGAAGAGGAACAGGAGGAGAGATAAAGAAGCAACGTCTCCTCTCCAGCTGCTCGCTGCAGTCTCCGTCGCAGCCAGAGGGATTGAGTAGCAATCACAACTGACACAGAGAGCTCTGTGCCGGGCTGTCTTTCTGTTGCACTGTTTCTTGCTTTAATACACACACACAGGGATACATTATGTAGGACTGCACACAGTTGTGTTTAGTCGTATGTCAACATTTACAGTGGCAAGAAAAGTTTTTGAGTCCTTTGTAATTCCCCATTTTTCTGCATTCGTTGCTCATAAAATGTGATCTGATCTTCATCTAAAGTCACAAATGTAGACAGACACAGTGTCCCTAAGCTAATATCACACAAATAATCATAATCTTTTGTGTCTTTATTGAGCATAGCCATTAAATATTCCCAGTGGTGGAGGAAAAAGTAATTGAACCCTTGGCTTTAATAACTGGTTGAACCTCCTTTGGCAACAATAACCTCAAACAAACTCTTCCAGTAGCTGCTGATCAGAGCTGCCCAACGTTCAGGAGGAATTTCCGACAATTCTTCCTTCAGCTCGGACATTCTTAAGATGTCAGGTGTGAGTGGCTCCCTTCATCTCTACTGGATTATGGTCTGGGCTCTGACTGGGCCACTCCTACAGGTGGATTTTCTTCTTTGAATTCATTCTGTGGTAAATTTACTCTGATGTTTAGGGTCATTGTCCTGCATCATTCAGCTTCTACTGAGCTTCAGCAGGTGGACAGGCACACTGACATCATGATTTTTGTTGGTTACGAGTTCAATTAGATTTTGATAGTTTGTCCTTTACTGTAACTTCTGACCATATTACATTTATACATAAATGCGGGTAATGTCAAAGAGTTCACTTACTTGTTCTTGCCTCTAGAGATGCCACAATAGCATAATATAACAGTGGGGAGTTGTTTAATTGAAAAAAAAAAAAAAATCAGCTGAGGCTTGAAAAAAGTCCTAAAGCTAGAGAACGGGTGCTAAGGTTCAAACAAAGTGCCAACAGTGCACTAATCAATAACTGTGATCACAACTTCTGGAATCTGGATTTTTACTGTAGACATTGTGGAGCCCTAACACAGAGCACCTTTAATGCAGTCACAGATACCTTTATAACACACAAAAACAAGTCAATAGACAGGCAGACACACACACACACACACACACACACACACACACAGTCTTTGTGATCGTCTGATGAAAGGAGTTGTCTGATCCTGAGAGACAGCAGGTGGGATCTGTCTTGAGTCACAGAAAACAATATGCCCAAAGTGATGCATGCGTGCTTGTGTGTGTGTGTGTGTGTGTGTGTGTGTGTGTGTGTGTGTGTGTGTGTGTGTGTGTGTGTGTGTGTGGACATGCCCTGATGACTCATATTCTACTGAAGTACGATACAGATGTTCAGCGGGCACCAGACACTTCCCCTCAGGTGTGCTGGTGTGTGTCTCGCATTTTCTCCTAAAACCTTCATTTGACTAAATACAAGACATTTTGTATGTTTTTATTTACAATTCTGCCAAGCCATCTGGCCTCATTAACTCCTAATTAACAAATCCACATCCACAGTATTTAAAATACATTTTAAGTACTTTATAACTGTGTTTTGAGGAGGGAGGCTTTCCGTCTGAATTGAGCATCTAAAGGCGCCTACAGCTATCTTATAAGTTTATTGCAGGCCACTGTGCAACATGTATTTAAAGTTGGGAACAACATCAAATTTGATGTATGTAGACTGTAAAATGATAACACCTACTGAATCTCAAGCTATGACTCAAGTCAATAAACAAGAATAAAATGAAGTCGTGTGTATCATCTGTCTGTGCCACTATAGTGGTAAACAATGAGGCTAAGCAAGACTTGAGCCCTTGTAATAGTGAAAAATCCAAGGAAGAGGAGGAGATGAATGTGGATCCGGTTGAGGCTAGGGAAGAGAGGCCAACTTCAGACATCAATTTTGCAAAAAGAGCTTGAGATAAGTGATTTTCAGCGTACATTAACGTATGAAGCCCTCATTTCAAGCTGCATTCCTATTGGTAGGTTAGTAGACGTTTTCGTAGCAGCAGTCACATTGTGAGATGGTCATCCTAAATTTCTGACACTGTCAGAATTTTGTCCCAGGCTATCTTGATCACAAAACTGTGCCAACAACCATCTTTGAACCTCTCTCACAGTACGACATGGGACCCCCGTCTTAGAACCACGACCAAAGATATCGCCCCACATTTCTTTCACATTGGTCACCTTTCGTCAGGGACAGTCCAAAATCCCACAGTGTATTCCCGCTTTTAGGATGGAGGGTGTTGTATGCTGTGTAGACTGCAAAGCCTAACGAGGAAAATGATGTGATGTGATTTTGGGTTATATAAATAAAACTGACTTATCGAATCAAGCTTCAGTTCCATGTTCACTGTCCATGTCTACATTAGGGTGATGATGTTGATGATATAACACTGGCAATTACAACACAGAATATTCATATTTATTTTGAATAATTCATAATAATTCACTGTAGGGGAGTTAAGGTGGTTCATACTGTAGGTTAAAAAGAAAAAAAACACTCGCCCACCACTGCAGAGACTCTGATGTTTCCTCTTAGCGGAGCCTCTATCTTGGCTGCGCACTCGGAGAAACAAAACCGGAGGTGTTCGCACTTCACAGCAGCACAGTGTCTTGTTCATGATTCTCCTTAGAGCGTCTTCAAGTTTGATGAGATAACTGAAGCTTCTTATCACGGTGATATTTCAGTACCTCACTCTGCAATTTTCGATTTTCCTTAGTTAATTTCTCAGTTCTGCCATTAACCATCATGAAATTATACAATCATATACAAACACTGCCAGTCGTTCAAAGTGAACCCAATGTGCATTTATCGTTGCCAGTTTATTATGTAATATGCTGAGAGTAAACGTCCTCAGAGATTAGCAACACAAAGATGCGTACAGCTGATAAATAAGGCAGTGACAGCTGATGTGAAGAGATCTGACACTACATGCCGTTAATTATATTTTTGCCTGGCACCCAGACCACACCCAGCGGCCCAGATGTGATGTCAGGATAACAAGTTTGGTGGATAAAGGGGAGATGCCATTAGACCACCGTCATCCAGGGTTCAAATACAGACCAGGAAGTTTCATAACAAGTCTCGTCACTTTATCTCTGCTGAACTTTCCTGGCTCTCTTCACCAATAACTTTCTAATAAAAGGAAAATTGCCCCAGAAATACAGTGAAAAAAGAAAAAGAGAGATTATGTAACTATAACTTCTCCCAAAACAAAGGAGAGTAAATGTTGTGCTGTGCTTCTGATAAAGTGGCAAACTGTAGATCTTTCCGATAACACAGTTACTCTCTTTACACAGATGCCAAGAAAAACAACTCTGAGCCAAGACTGGAAGAAGGTGGAGTTACAACACATACACACGCTCAAGATCAAAAAGCTTCCAGAAAATGCAGCACAACAAAAGTAGAACTTGCAACACTGTCACAGTGTCTTCATAACTATAGTAAATTCACATGCATTCACACACACAAATAATCTCTAAAGAATTAAGTGCAAACAGCAGTTCCCAAGAACAACATTCATTTAGCCTGAGAAAGAATGCAAAACACGAAGAGGAAAAATATACAGAAGTAGGAACTTGAACATTGTAGAAAGGAGGGGGTCAGAAAGTTATGCAACACAGACAAAGAGAGAGAGGGAGCAAGAAAAGAAAGCAAGATGAAAGGCAAGACACCAGGACAGAACGCGAGAGACACGGAGGAGTGTGGGGAAGAGTGAGAAATACAAGAAGTGACTGAGGATGAGATTGAAAGACGTTTGAATCCAACTGTCATATGGGTTTTATCCGAACTTTTAAATATCCCAAAAATCAAAATCCTAATAAGGGAATTTCCGAATGTTATTAAACAGATCTATGAGAGGAGGAGAATAACCAAATCTAAATGATCAAGTTCAGGATGTTCTTGTTTTGGTCTCAGCTAACAATGGAAATATGTAAGGCTTTGATATAAAGATGAAAACAAATACATGAAATTGACAATTATGTAATACTCTATGGGGAGTTGGATATGAGTTGGAGTTGGAACATGATGTTTCTGGGAAGTTCGGAGGGGACAGAAATTATTTTCTTTATAAACAAAAATGAAAATGAGAGACGCTAACCTGCATAAATGTTTCTGTGAAATCATTACTCAGGACAGTCATTCGTTCCCCGTCAACAGGTGTGTCAGTCTCTTTCCTTCCTTTCCTTTTCCCCATCCCTTCCTTCAATTCAACCATCTGTACTTCCACCTCTTCTCCACCCTTCCCTCTCCACAATCTGCCTCTCTAACCTTCTGGAAACAGTTTTTTCTCTTTCCTCGCTTCATCGCATTCAAGCCAAGTCTCCCTCTCTCTATCTCTTTGAATGGTCAGATTTTATGCTCTAGAGGTTTGGATTTGGGAACAGAAAACAGAGAGCAGGGGACATGTACTCGCTGTGTGTCTCACAGGGTTATAAACTGCATACACATTTCTCTCTCATTCTCTCACACAAACACACACACACACACACACACACACACACACAGATAAACGAACTGAAAGAGTTCAATTTGTGCACACAAAATAAAAAAAGGAACGATGCAGCATATATTCAGCCTTTTACATGATCAAGATTATGGGCCAGAAAGGCTCCTTTATCCCTTCTATATCCTTTGCTCATTCACTCAGTCCGTCTGTCTGTCCTTGTTTCTTTCTCTCTCTCTCACACTACGATATGACATATTGTCCAGAGGAAAGGTAGGCCTCATGGAAAGCCTAAAGGAAGCACTCTCTGTTCCCTTCCTGTTCCTGTGGGTGTGTGTGTGTGCATGTGTGTGCATGTGTGTGTGTGTGTGTGTGTGTGTGTGTGTGTGTTGGTGTCTGTGCTGATAGTGACCAGGCCATATCTGTGTTGTGATAGCTCTGAGCCTGATTCCTGGAAATAATGGATAAGAATATGAAAACACAATGCTTTCAGTTCAGCAGCACACACAAGTGCAAACTATACATGCATATACACAAGCATAGTATGATTTGTAACTATAACTATTAGGAACTAACACAAGATGCTCAAAAAAGTCCGCCTGTATGTGTATGTGTGCATCATCATGCATACTGTGACCTTGTATAATCCCTCGTGCAGGCTGACCTCTGGTAAACTCTGATGGCTGAATCAAATGCAGAAAAGCACAAGTGCAGGTCTGAAGTGACTAGAAGGCAGAGATACACCCAATGCACACATGAGTTATAGCACTATGGAAACAGCCCACACCGGTTTGTCAGAGCTTGAGTGTCATGGAAAAAAAAGGAAAGTAAAAAAAATGAAATAAAATCACCATGACAACCCAGTAAAATGAGAGTGGTCTTTGTGGTGAATCAGGCTGGTTGCTTGGTTTTGGTTTTTGCTACATCCTGCAGCCTAAGGTGGACAATGAGCCAATCATCAAACCTACGATAAACACATCTTACACTTGTTTACATTTGTGGTGCCTTGTCGGAAAACATCTTCCCCCTGCGCACTTTTAGAAATGATTATAGATCAACATGTGCTTCCTTAAAGAAGACTAAAGAGCATCTTTTCAAGCCCATACGCCTGAAAGAATCATTTGGTTCATTTCCTTTTACACTTTAATCATGACCTTTGTGAATCAAAGCACTGCTTGATGAAACATGACTGATGATTTTTAGATTATAAGACAATCCAACATCCCTACAAGCTAAATACATACGGTCAGGAGAATAGAGCAGGGGAAAATACATTTTTTAGAAGATATTTTAAGTAGTTTGTTAATATCTTCAGTACATTTGCCAATCTTTCTCCCCCTCTTCCTCCTTTTGGCCATACATGGTTTTCACTGTTTGCACAAAAGTGACAGAGAGCCATCACGGTGATGACAGCTCAGTACCTGGTCATGTATGGAATAACATGACCATGTATGGTATAAGATGACCAGGTAATGAGTTGTACTTTATATATTAAAATATTTGCATATAACATAATCTAGCAAATATTACACATATTTGTTGCCTCCCCTTCCTCTGATAAAATCATGCTGCAATAAGTTTGAAATGTCAATGTTTTGTACTTTTTTGCACTTGTGTTCTAGTATATGGACGTGCACATATAATCATCATCTTTTTAAGAAGATTTTTGGACAAAAGCCTTAAATAGAAATTATAATTGGACGAAAAACTGTCCAATCCTTCATGAGCTGCTGATGCTGCTTCTATTAAAAGAAAAACAAGAGGCTGGGTCTGATGTTTGGTCCTATTTTATCTGACCTGAGAAAAAGCTCATTTTCTGATGTTTACTTTAACCCAGGCAACAGAGTCGGCGTGTGTGTGCAGACTGAAGGACCTTTGAACAACATAGGCGTTCCATCATTAACCTTTTAACATTTCAATACTGTTCTCAATGTTTCCCCCAAATCTCATCTGTTAAAGAAAGGATTGTTTCCTCACTCTATGACAATCAATCATTTTTATCTGGTTGTGTCAGGATTCTTTAAAGCTATATATATATTTCTATACATAAAGTAAAGACAACACAATTTTTGTGTATAGTTTCCTACAAATTTCCCTACAACCAACCCCAAAATATGTTATTTCTGGAAACATCATGGTCTGTACTTGTATTTAAAGTATTTGAAGAATTATCAGAGGAGTTCTAACAATAATTTGCTGTTGGTACATTTGCATTTTAAAAAGGCAGAAGGAACAACATGAGAAAATTCAGATGTTTACTCACTTAAACATAATGATTTAGCAGTAAATAAAAATATAAGCTCACTGATCATAATATGGCAAACTTTAAAATATTAGATAATATTCATACTTTTAGGAAAAGTCTGACTGTTGTGAGGTTTGTCCTCATGTGACTAAAATTAATTTAAGATGACTAAGTGATACGTCATGAGATTTAAGTCAAGCTAAAAGTGGGTAAATTGTTTTTATTATTTCTCTACTACATCTCCGCTTTAACAGCACTGCATAAATATTTCTCTGTAGCTTTATACAGTGCTAATGCTGTTGTAAAATACAGTATGTTTTTACTTTTGCATGTAAGGAATGAAAGTAAAATCACAGACACTTTAGAAAATCCCCAAGGCTAGGCTTCAGTCAAACTCACCAAGCTGATATGTGGTACATTTCACAAACACACGCATTGTGATGTAGGGTGAAATCAGACTGCATTTGCTTCATTTCCTGCCCTCAGGTGTACGGTAGAGCTGGATTATACAGTACAGCGCTCCACTAACACCCCACTCATTATGTGCACACACTGACTCAGCCTGCCACAGCGCCAGCAGTGCATGAACATACACACACACACACAATCTCCCACGCATGATTATAAGCTGTAGCCATCAAACTCACACACACACACACACACACACACACACACACACACACACACATTCCTGTACAG